TTGACACACTGCCTCATGTGATTTGGTTATAAGATGTGGTATTTACTAAAAACGTTTTGTGTTTTTATATTTTGAGGCTCTAAGATGCTGAAAGGTTTATTTTACATATTTATTGTATGACCAGGTCAGTTTAAGTTACATTGAACCTTAATACTTAATAAAATGCATCACACAGACAGTTGGATACATTTCAAAGATAGAGGAAAAGGGGGGAGCCTTGTGTATGAGTAATGTGCATAGCTTCTGTTGTAGTGGATATAGTTTGTGTTTTTGGTAGTGCCGTGTAGCTCTCTGGTTCAGCCATAAGCATCTGCTGGAGTCAGTCTGTCAGCCTTGGGCTTGATGTGTCTGTCAGTCACAGATTATTCTGACTGAGCACCTTAAACGCTGTCTGACAACATACACATGTTAGACAGAAACGGGGTCCTTCACTTTGCAATGCTCTCTCTGACATACTTTGCAGCCCAGACACCAGACCATTGCTGTTTATTGGTCTGTTACTAATGTAAATAGTAAATTGAGCAGATAAAATCATGTTAATAAGGCTGCATAAATAACATTTATAAATAATAGATAAATGATATCCCACGTAGGCCAGGAAAAACACAAATAACCTTTGTTAAAGAACCTCACAAAATATGTGAACCACAGCAAAACTAACAGAGTTCATCTAAGGTACACAAACACACTCAAACACTCAGAGACGTTCCAGCACCGAGTGGAAGCTCTTTTCCACCACATCTCAAACTCAATTTACTACAGTAGAGAAGAGTTAAATGCCTGCATGTTACCACTGCTGTTAATTTAAGCATGATATCATTCTGAGCATTGGCATTTTATTCATATTTGCATTCCTTGTGTGGAACCACAAACCAGGCCTCCTACATGGATAAAAGCACTATTATTGCAAGGCAACTGTAACATTATGCCAGAGCTGTCAGGAAGATATTTAGTGACTGGGCAACTATATCTTGACATTGTACATGTTAAGTGTTAAGGAATGATACCAAAGTCTGACATTTGCTGCCTCTAAATCTTTATCTCAGAGGCGCTGCTGTACACATGCAAGTGAAACAGCAAACTGGAAATCATTTCTACATTTCTACATGTATCTAACATACAGATCAAGAGGCCTGTGCAAATCATCGCTTATTTCTGGGCTACAATGTGAAACTCAGTATTAATTATAGTTTTCGTAGCATTTGTTGCATATTGCCTGTAAAAATCATGAACACATTTATTGGGCTTGTCAGTTACGCCCTTTAAAGCTGCACCAATAAATATATTCATATTGACAAGTGGTCAAATGATTACTTGTACTGTGGAAGGTATCAGACATAGTGACGAACACAGAGAGAATTATCCCTATCTCTGCAGTTCCCCTTAGCTATACAGAGTGTTTTAGTGTCCTTCGGCTCATTGTTTTGGTTTGGTTTGGTTCACTTTTACCACTCTCACTGACTTTGCTTCCAGCAACAGGCAGCTGTTTTCAGTGAATCAGCTGTGACAAACTTTCTACGCTACCTTCTCTGAACCAGATAGTAGGCCGGCAAAGTTAACAACTAGCTTGTGAACATAGTGCAGCATTGAGCAGCTTAAGAGCCAGATAGTTGCCTCAGGAATTGGTGGAGACAAAACTGGCAACTGCTTGATTATCAGTGTTGTCTGTATACGTAGACTGTATAATTAAAAAGTGACTCAGTCAAACTCAGTGACGTCACCCATTGGTTTCCGTTGTGAAGCTCAGTGTGGTCGGCTCTGGCTTTCGCCATTTTGGCAGTCAGTCAGGACTGCTCCCAGCTAATCCAAAAATGAGTGAAAATGTGAGTGTGGGTGAAGATGAGGCGGGCTGAATGAGGCCTTCTTACTGAGAACTTTCACTCAAAACAACCACGCTCTTATGTAAGCATAATATAATTTAAACTGGTGAGTTCTATAAAAGTTCACCCCTCGTACAGTTGTTAGGAACAAGGAATTTAGCTATAGAGACCAAAACAGTTTTTTTGTACCAGGCTGTAAACAAGCATTTTAATATGGGCCCTTCAGATTTACTCACTTCTCTAGCCAGCCTTAAGTGGACGTTGCAGGAACTGCAGTATTTGTTACTTCCGTGATAGATATTTTCTGTTGCCTTCAAGTGGCCACAAATGGTTTAATACTAACTTTACTACTAAATTCATATTATTTGTTAGTAGCCTGTCCTTAAAAAAAGAACATTTCCTAAGACATGTAGTGGCTATGCCATTCACCTTGGAATAAAGGAAGTATAAGTGAAATACAAACAGACAACAACAGAAATTCACATGGCCTATATAAGTTGAAATGATTTGATTTTTCTTCATTTTAGGACCCAACACACTCATTTGATGTGTCATAGTTAACATTATCCTATAACTCACTGTTCACAGTTCATTTGGTGGCTAATGACAATAACACTGACCACTGGGGGTCCACATCCCAAAGTCTCTGCCCTGGTTTATTTTCAGTATTCAAACATTAAAAGTGAGTGGAAAAGCTGCCATCATATGGGGGTAAACTTGTAGTTCAAAAAGAAAGAGATTAAAACTCACCCTCTGGACATCTGTGTTGAATTCTAAACGTCTTGTTGTGTTTTCTGGGAGTAGAAGAAATCTCTGGTGACAAGTGCCTTTGGCTGTGTGTGAGTTCAGTTTGTTACAAAAACTCTGCAGTATTATGAGTTTAACCCAGTTGCATCTTGGGACAGTACCATCAGGATTTACTTTAAGATTATGTTGTTTCAGTGTTCACGAGTAGACTGGGAGTTGACACGTGTAACCATACCCAGATGAAGGTGGGCTTTAGTGACATTTTTAAAATCCTGTTATAATTCCACTGAAAACAGGATTTTCCCCTCACCAGATGGCACAAACCACCCACAGACAGAAGGTGAATAAAGCATTGAACAAACTAGACCAAGACTCCAAAGCTGCCTCCTCGTTCATCAGCCACAATGAGATTTCTGTTTGAGTTCTGCTGGGAACAGTTAGCGAGGCTTTAGCCTCATTTTGATGCGTTCACAGATAAGGTCACTTTGTCAGAGACAGCCAGGACAGTGACACTTTGGGGGATTATTCAGGAACAGATTGGGATGTTAATGTTTTGTGCAGCATGCTACTGCAAGGCTGAAAAGTTTGTCTTGACTGTTGAGGGATTTTAATGGTCCAGACGGTCCGGATAACTAGATATCAAGTAGTCTCTTAAGTCTCTAATGCATAGACATAAAACCTCTTGGCTCTTGCCATATCAGAAGAACAAAAAAAAAAAAAAAAAAAGCCACAGTCATATGATATCACATTGACAATTCAGATTTGGGTCAGTAAATTTCAGTGCTCATTCACCACTCCTACATTAATATGTTTTGATTCAGACATTTTCCCGTCCAAATGGCCACAGATAACCTCTCACCGTGTCAGCGTCTGTTTTATGAGAGGAACATTTTTCCCCTTTTCAGGCAAAGACTGCCTAGCTGCTATAATTGTGTTGTTTTAGTCTGAAGGGATTTATGGTGAAAATGGAGACGTGGAGGAGATATTCATTAGAAGTCATGTCACTATATAGTCGTCCTTGACTGCATTTTATTTTGTTTTCCACGGTGGACTTTCTGTAGCTTGTCAGAATGTCCCAAATAGTGTTTTTATCATGTATTATGTATTCTTTCAATATTCTGGGTTGCTTTATATTCACTGATCTGCAAAGTGAGGTCATGAAACGCAGCAGTTTTCCCCTGAATATGATCATGTTATGTTTACTGATTTTTATCCCGGCTTTATCCAGCCCCATGCTGTACTGCAACATAATTCCACACTGACCACAGAAGCGTTTGGCAGTATTATTATTTGATTTTTTTTCAGCACTCTGAAAAAAGTTTGGTGTTCTTTTCTCTCATCACTTATTTCCTGTGTGGAAGGAGGCATTTTATGTTTGTTTTGGCCCAGAACAGAATGAGCTGCGATGGGTGGGAGAGAGCTAGACTCTCCTTCTGAGTTCACCCTAACAGCCTCAGTCTAAGTCTGGCCACCATTTTCCCTCCATCTCTCCTGCTTTACCTCCCTTTACCTTTCTCCACCTCCTTGTCCACTCCTAGCTCTCTGTATTTTACTCTGTCTGCCTTTCCACTCACCTGCAGCTGACTTACGGCTGCTCTAGCTAAACCCATGGAGATGACCACATTTTTATGACTTATTATACACTTCCTGTAAATTTGTTACTGTCATTCATCTTTAGAGTTTGGTTTGGCACCTCACAACCACATGTAAAACTGAGCAGTATTTAAAGTTTTTTTTTATGAATGTTGGGACCCAGCTCATACATCTCTGAGGGAAAGAGACAAAGCAAGAGGAATACGTCAGCTTTAAACAGGGAATCCATATGGAAGCCAAACGAGAGCTGCAAACCTACTAGAAGGCCTGGAGACTGGCGGCTTTCCAATACGGTTTCCTTATTGGTGACTGTGGTCCGTTTTGGGACTTACCCTGGCACTGTAATAACCACATTCAGCCTGGTGTGTTTGAGTGTACGGTAGCACACTGGGGCCACTTTTAAGCTCCTCCACCACCTGTTTGCACAGGGAGTTGCTTTTACTGCTGGTTTGAGTGAGTTTATGGACTGCTGATGTTAACTGTTCTATTTTTACTATGCCCAGGTTTCCTGTAAATCATTACCGCCAGTGTGACACAGAAAACTCACACCCTAGAGATTTATGAAGAAAATTCTGGGATTAGTAAAAAGACAGTCACGGCAAAATTGTGCCTTCTGGCAAGTAACAAGATCCCTGCTAATTAGATATTCTATTATTGTTTTTAATGATGTGAGTTTACAGTGTGACTTAGCTTAGATTTTTAAATATAATCTTTTATGCCTAATGAGATCTTAAACAACTATTGTACTGAACACTTTTAGTGCACACTTTGATGTTTCAACTACAGCTGTTTCACACATCCCTTATTCACTTAGACTCCTTTTTCCCCTCTGTCTAACAGAGCCAAGGCTGCGATGAGTATCTCGGATCGGGAAGGGTGATGGACAAGTGCGGTGTGTGTGGAGGCAACAACACAACCTGCAGGCTGGTCTCTGGAGTGTTCAAACACAGTTTGTCCAAGATCGGCTACCACAAGATAGTGGAGATTCCAGAGGGAGCCACCAAGATCAACGTCACAGAAATGGTGAAGAGCAGAAACTACCTAGGTGGGAAAAAGTGCTCAACACTTTTATACTGCATTCCACAGCACCAGCTCACACAGTGATAACTACCATGTTTGTGGTTTCACAACAGAAAACCTGAGCTGATTAAAGCATTGGTCTTTGGTCTTGTTGCTCAGGACTGATGGTTTTCCTCCTAGTTTTAAATCTAACATTGTGAATGTTACTACAGTTAACTACCAATAGAACAAAAACAGTATTACCCTTTGACTAGGGTTGTCAGCTTTCTTTAAACTAACAAGAGGGATGGCCAAAGGAAGTCTGCTGTCCCAAAACAAAAACAAAACATTTAATCCCATGTACCCTAAAATATGTTCCTTTTATTAAAAACATTTGAACAAAAAACAACAGCAGCGGACCCTTTCCTAATAGATTGTTTTCTTATTTGCTTAATTCAGTACTGAACTCACTAACTCTTTTAATAAAGAGAAATAAAGGGAAAAGCAAGGTGAGTAAACTTGACATCCCTAATAGGGACAAAACAGCACAACATTTTATTATATGCAGATGATGTCCTCTTAACCCTAACAGACTAGATTAATTCAGCTGGGATAGAATGTGTTAAAGAATTTGGACTGATATCTCGGTACAAAGTTAATTTAGAAAAATCTGAAATAATGCCATTACTGAACGGCGGACAAGGTGAACTTGATTTTACAATAAAGCTACCAAGGACCTTTACAAATATTTAAAAGTCAGGCACTATGTGCACAAGGAAATGGATATTCTCAGTTCAATGTCACTGCTTAAGATGGGAATAGATAAAGAAACATGCTGTAAATATTGCTGTCGTCTATCTAAATAAATAAAAAGGATGTCGGTTCTCTGCTCACACTTTTGCTACCATGCCTTCTGCTTCATGCCCCCACTTGCTGCTTCTGCTGCCACTGCTATTCATATTGCATTGCAAAAGCCCCACTTCCAGCATCCACCTGCAGGCTCTGGGTCTACTTTCCCAGGGGGGAGGTAATCATTGTCACCTACCACTCCCTGCTGTGCTAAGCTTGGTGTTTTCTTTTGGGGAGCGATGAGGTCACAGTCTAGACGCCAAATATCAGTGCTGTACATATTTTGCATTCACGTAATAATCCATTCCATGTGAATTGGCTGAGTGAACTACGTTTGAATTTCTTTGCAGCATGTTAGTGTGTTACATACTGTAATAATACTGTTTTAGGATCTATTAGTTTGCCAATCTGAGCAGTTAATAATAGCTGAAATTGAGTTTTTATTCAGTAACAGGGTACAGTCCAGAAAGCTCAGTGCCAGAAATGTCTGCAATATTTTAAACAGGCCTTGCAGTGTTTTCTGGAGTACTTATGTTCTGTCACAGTCAATTTAGTTTGCCTCTCGGCAAATAGTGACTTCCGCTATCCATCCAGGTTTATAGTTTCATCAGTTGCAGAGCTCTGCCTTCATTCCAGCTCAAAACACAGAAGATTTTTTATTTTCTTCTGTGTCCATCCACCAGATATACTACTAAAATACTATAGAGAAATTCACATTTGACAATTCTACATGTTCCAGCTGTGCAGGCAGCAGCTGCTTGTAAAATTAATTAGATTTGTCTGAAAAGGCATCAACCAGGGGGTGGTGTCACTTTTTCAGGATTTCTCCAGCGTGCAGCCTTTATTACCACCCACCACTGTGGTGCCGTCTTTCATTGGAGCCTCTGAGTGAGGCGCACTACACAGATAATTGGCGTCTTTAGGAGGTGCAACTGCGGGACACAGTGGTGGGTTATTTTCAGAAGTGACTATTGGAATGTCAGACATTGTTTAATTAGAGCCATGCCCCAGCTCTGCAGTAGGTTCGGAGGAAGAGGGGAATGGCCTTGATTTCCCCCCCACAGCCGCTTCCCTTGAGGAAAGTGCATAAACATGCTTTCATTTGAGGATCTTACCCCTAAAGCCTCACCATCCTTTTTAATTAAGGTGAGGAATTTCAGCACTCTGTAAAAGAAGAACTAGAAACACTCTGAAGATGGGTTCTGTGGCTGCCTTTCAAATCCCAGCTACTTGGATGCCAAGTGTGCTCCACTTTCTTTAATTTGAACAGACCATTTTTATACACACCAGTACACAGAGTTATGTACAGTTATGTACAACAACACACATACACATTAACCGGTATATGCACCTTTTATAACATTCACTCTCCTAGCCTTTCACATCTACACACATGCATACTATACTACTACCCTTCTGTAACCAAAAGCACCAATCATGCATGGACATGCTTTCTCAATGTAAGAAACTGAAACATCCTTGTAGATAAAATAAACAGGACTCATCTTATAATGCTATTTTTGAACCGATAGGTACCATTTACAAAATTGCAGGCAGCGGCATGTTTTCAAAATGGATATTTCGGTTTTAAAATGCAAACAAAGATATGAAACACAGGCAGGAGTCTAGCTGGAGCCACCTACCATATCCTCACCACGTCCCTGATCTTCCCTCAATAGGCCTCTGTTCTACACTGTGCATCTCTAATGTGCTTTTAGTTGTCCAAACACTCTTTTACAAGCCTGTCTAATGTTACACTTCTAATGCTTTTCTAATGGCCTATTGTACTTAATCCATGAAATCAGTGGAAAACATCTTGGGAGATTTTGTTACAGGATTTGCATGAAGGATTTGCCAGCACAAACAGATTGTCACGTTTCTAAAAGACATTGCTTTGAAAGTGCACGTGAGAGCATTTATTCCGTTAACTATAATTACTTTTTTTGGGTGGAGGAAGTCAGTGCTACAGTTCTCATTATGCCTAAATGCTTTTACATTGAGCAATAATTATGTGGAAGAGGTTGTGGCAGTATTTTCCTTTTCGTTTGAGCTCAGGGCTGTCGGTGGTGATTGTGTGGTTGTTCTGTCTGTCTCTCCCAGCTCTCCGAAGCCGATCAGGGCGATCCATCATTAATGGAAACTGGGCTATTGACCGACCAGGCAAGTATGAGGGAGGGGGGACCATGTTCACCTACCGCCGACCCAACGAAATCAGGAGCACAGCTGGGGAGTCCTTTCTTGCTGAAGGGCCCACCAATGAAATCCTGGACGTTTATGTAAGTAATGAATCAACTAAGACCTCCAGATACTTACAGTAGTGACTCATTTTCTCTTTTATTCATGCTGGCAAGCTTCAGTTTGACCCGAGAAACTAAGGTTTGTTGTTGTATGATCACTTTTCAGGGCAGGTATTGTGTTTTAGAAGGATACTTTTCAAATATTTGAAGGTGAAAAGTATTATTTTATGACTGACTCTTCTACTTTGCCTCAGATGATCTTCCAGCAGCCAAACCCTGGTGTTCACTATGAGTACATTCTCCCTACTGAGCAACCAGTTGGCCCTCAGCAACCAAACCACAGACCAGAAGGTAAATTAGACCTACTTTTTACCCCCCTAACTGTTTATTACCATAGCTCTGATTGCTCAAGACATATTATAGGGAAAACAATTCATCAAGAGCGTTGGTTGCTGCCCTGCACAAATCCATCTAATCATAATACCAAACACCAAGCAACCAAACAATCTCTTCTCCGCAGTGACCTTCGTTTCTTAGTGTGTCTTAATGTGCCCATGTCTCAGGGAATGCTGTGAATGGACAGGGTGGATACGACAATCACAGAAACACTAAACAGGAAAACTTCAACCCAGCGGGTGGGGGGAGGGACCCTCCTCGTCTCCCTGACAACCAGGTTCCCGTCGCACAGCCACCCAGACGCGTGAGAGATTACAACTGGAAAATGGCTGGTGCTACAGAGTGCAGCGCCTCCTGTGGTAAAGGTCAGTCAAACTATTTGTATTTTAGGGTTTTAGTTGCAGACATACAGAGTTAGAGCCAAAGGAAAGTGAGCTCGAGTTTTTACATTATCAACACTGAACGCAACCAAAAGTGCTTCTCATGTAAAATGATATAACACTCAGTGTAAAAATTTTATTTGTTACTCATGACTTATTTTTACGATTAGAATCCAGTAAAAACAAACTATTAACTATTATAACCATTTTTTAAAGGTCAAATTCATCATATTTCCCACATTTATAAAAAACAGTGAGGATGACTCCAGTTTCATAGAACACATGCTATTTGTTTTCAGATTTCAGATTCAGTGCCTAAATTAAACATCTGCTTTGTGTGCTTTTTAGGATTCAGGTATTCCATCTTTCATTGTGTCTCCCGGCTGAACCATGCCCAGGTATCGGATGCTTTGTGTGATAGCAGCAGCAGACCGACTCCACAGGAAGAGGCCTGCAACCTGCAGCCCTGCCCAGCCTTGTGAGAGACCACTCTCCTCTGTTCTCACATTTGAATTTAAAAGACACTCAAAAACAAAGTTGACTGAATGGTATACACACTGCTGTTATATAATTGTTAAAGTTTCATGAGTTGAAAAATTCAATTCAATTCAATTCAATTTTATTTGTATGGCACCAATTCATAACAGAAGTTATCTCAGGACACTTTTCAAATAGAGCAGGTCTAGACCGAACTCCTTATAACATTATTTACAGAGACCCAACAGTACCACCATGAGCAAGCACTTGGTGACAAGGGCAAGGAAAAACTGCCTTTTAAGAGGCAGAAACCTAGGACAGACCATTTGGCTCTAGGTGGGTGGTCATCTGCCTCGACCAGTTGGCGTGAGAGAGAGAGAGAGAGAGAGAGAGAGAGAGACAAAGAGACAGACAGAGAGAGACAGACAGACAGACAGAGGTATACAGCAACAACAGTAGCAAAAAAGGCCCTTAATAATAATAATAATAATAATAATAATAATACATTAAATTATTAGAGGCGCCTCTCTGGGCACTCGAGGACACCGTACAACACAAAAAAAAAAAAAAAAACTGCAAGAAATAAGAAACAGATAAGAAAAGACAATGTAGATGGTTAAGTGGGGTAGGCAGTTCTGAATAGGTGAGTTTTTAATAAATCTTAAATACAGCATATAACAGATATGAGAAGAAGATGCTGTCTTAGTTTACCTTGCAGACACCTCACAGAACCAGTGTGCAGTTTGCAATGTATGTTAACATCTGTTTTGTGTTTATCTGCCGTTTTGACTTATATTTGGAACATGAAGCTTTCTAAACCCTTTTCTACTCAAAATAGTTATTTCAAAACAATGGTCAAAATATATCTTCGTATCACAATATAAACAACAAAATGTATATATTATACACTGCATATACCTTCTTAACACCAAGCTTTGATGATTTCTACCTGAGCAGCTGGGATATTGGAGAGTGGTCAGAATGCAGTAAGACATGTGGCCTGGGCATGCAGCACCGGCAGGTCCTGTGTCGCCAGATTTACGCCAACCGCACCCTCAACGTCCACACGAGCCGTTGTCGTGACTTGGAGCGGCCTGAAATCGCCAGTACCTGCCAGCTGAAGATCTGCAGTGAGTGGCAGATCCGCTCCGAGTGGACCGCTGTGAGTGGCAGCTGTTTGTCACAATGTGACTGCATCACACCTGTCTGACCTGTCTCTGCAGTTAGTGTATAACAAAGTGCTGTGCATGGTTGATATTGTATCCCTGACATCAGTATCCTCAGTATCTTTAGGTTTTCACTCTCAACCATTTAAAGGAATAGTTGGACTTTTTGGGAAATAAGCTTACTTTCAGACTGTATCTGATGTTTACAGTAAATATGAAGCTGGAGCCTGGAGACAGTTAGCTTAGTTTTAAGTGTAAAATGGACAAGGTGTGTTTTTTTCTGCTCAGCACCAAATGACAGACAGCAACTAGCTGGTGAAAATAGTGGAGCATTTAGCAGCTATAGAGACAGCTATTTTCCCAATTAAAAACATTATTAAAATACTTTTTACATACAATTTGTTATTTTCTCTATCTATTCCAATGGATGATAATATGTTAAAATGTGCCTTATGCTGAATATGTAAGTAAGAAACTGCTCCCGGTTTCGCCATATTAACTTAAATGTTATGGGCAGAAGATATACAGTAAATCTTCAAAACAACTAACCCTAACCCACTTAGGAAAACCACAATCAGAATCCAGTTTGTGTAGAGATACATTAATGCACTACATAAACCAAAGAGTGTACTCATTAAAAAACAAAAACATATAGAAGCCTTTTAGTCTCTCCAGTAGTGTTTACCTCCACGGTACCGTGTTAACCATGTGGCCTGTGTCTCCATAGTGCTCGGTGCCATGTGGGCTGGGTCAGAAGTCACGAGAGGTACGCTGTGTCAGCAACGTGGGCGACTTTGTTCCTGATGAGGAGTGCAACATGAATCTGCGGCCCATCGATGTAGAGAACTGTGACATGGGAGCCTGTGCCAAGAGTTGGTTCTATACCGAGTGGGGCAATAGGGTAGGTGTTAGATTCAATGGGAGGCATAGTAACGTTCATTCATTTTCTAACAGTGTGGTCATTGTGTAGGTCTTCATGCATCCAACAGCTGTTTTTGAAAATGATTTATAGATATTTTAATATAGATTTTGACAGCTAGAACAACAGCTTGGATAAAGGTTTAGTTCTCCATCACAAGTAACTAGTAGAGTTGGAATAGTGTGAGAAAAGGAAATGATTAAAATTAGAGCTGAGAAGAGAGAGGGTTTTTTAAAGACTATTAGGAATGACTGAATATAGAAGATAATGTATAATGGGAAAATACTCAACCCTCTCTGAGTCTTTTCCCATTATAGAGATGTTTTCCTATTTTCAGTTATGATTCGAAGGCTGTAGTAGAAGAAAAGTTCATACAGGAAGACAAATGACCAGTAAAGGTAAAGGGAGAACTAATCCAACAGGAGCAGAGATCTGAAATTAACATTTGTTTAACAGTACTGCAGATCTGATCATCAAATCCACTTTATACTTGAAGGAATATGAACCACAAAGTTAGGGGAGATATGAATTATGTACCTCATCCTCGTATTATGTGTACTGTAAATCAAACTTGTTTCTTCTTTATATACATTTATATACATACATGTCATGTCATGTGTCCACTTAAATCAGGTTATTATTATTAAACAAGTGTTTATTTCACAGTGCTCAGCTGAATGTGGGATGGGGGTACGAACCCGGGGAGTCCTCTGCCTGACTAACCACATCGGCAGCCTTCCTCTGGAGGGCTGTGGCAGCGAACGGCCTGCGGACTCCCAAGTCTGCAACAACGGCCCCTGTGAGAATCGCATTGAGTGGTTCACAGGCCCCTGGAGCCAGGTATGAGTACAACAGAAGGTCACGCTTGGCTTGAGGGGACGTAGTCTGGAGTAGCTAAATATATGGGATTTTACAGTGATTTTACAGTGACATGTAAGGATTTGTTTTCCTGTCTCAGTTTTTGCTACGTGTAATTGAATCCATATGGTCTGTGCTGTTGTATGTGACCCAGTGCTCTGCAGAATGTGGCCCAGGCAGCCAGCAGAGGGCAGTAGTGTGTCTGCTGAAGTCAGAGGAAGCATTCACTGTCATGCCGCCGTATGAGTGCTCCTCCCTGGAGCGGCCCCTCAGCCAGCAGAGCTGCAACCTCAAGGCCTGTGGAGCGAAGTGGTACCACACAGACTGGAGTGCTGTGAGTAAGATATGAAACCCTCTCCTCTTTTGCTGTTTAGATGCTCTCAAGCAAGGCATCCACTCCCTACTATTCTCAATAACTGATTAATGACCAACAAGGCTGATAATCTGGTTAGCTACAGATGAAGAAATCCCTCTAAATGCTATGTAGATACATTGTAGTATACATTGAGTTTACAGACATAGAAAATGAGTCTGATTAGGTAAACTACAGAGAGAACAATCACAGGCTCATTCATGCAGTCAGACTTTGATCTGTCAGAACAGGATGACAAATAGTATGCTTAATTTCATGGTCTCCTTGATTAAGTCACTTTGTACTGCATGTGATATCTGAAGTTGTGAACTTCACAAGTTATTTTCATCTTCATCACGCTCTGGTGTGAATAGCACTTCTCAGGAAAAGGGTAAAAAAATCGATCCTTTATTTGTTACGTACCAATAATTATCATGTATGAATGACAGTATTTAAAGAAGCAACAATCAAAGTTAATAAATAATACAAAACTCTGCTAATCTGCCTCATCAGGACTTTGATTTAAGCTCTGTTTGGTGCACCGAAGTGCACGGCCGTCACCTTTTTCCAACTGAGCTCAACTAAAAAAAGAAAAACTGTTCTAACTTTGCCAGAAAATACTGTGTTTATGAGGAAGATAAGTGTGAAACTATGTTTCCATAGCCTTTATAGGTTCAGATTGCAACATTAAGAATGTTTGCAGAGTTTCAGTAGACCAACTTTTGGGTTTTTGGGTTAAGGTTGGATTATTCTGGGACTGACTGCTGTCACTGACTCCTCTCCTTCCAGTGTTCAAAAACATGTGAAGGAGGTTTCCGTGTGCGGGAGGTGCGCTGCCTGTCTGACGACATGCTGTCCAGCGATGGCTGCGACGAGCAGCTGAGACCAGCACAGAGGGAGAACTGCAACCCAGAGCCCTGCATACCTCACATTGGTCAGTCATCCCCTGACTGTGTTCTCTGGAATATTACTAACTTTTATGAATGATTTTAGCATCCTTAGGGTCATTATTGTGGCTGTAGCGTCCAGCTGGATATGAGATATAGATGAGTAATGTTCATCAATGTGCCATCTCTGAATGCTTGAAATGAAAGCTGTACCTTGAGCAAGGGGTTGAACCCCAAACTTTATTAGAAGTTGAAGCAGCACTGGGGAGCTGTAAATATTGCTAACGCTCCCATCTCCCTGCAACACTTTATCCAGAGTCTATTGTCATTGGTTCTTACACAGCACCCTTGGTTTAATAAAGGTCACATATTATTTGCTTAATTTTTGTTTCAGATGAGAACTGCAGAGACAAGTACTTTAACTGCAACGTGGTGGTCCAGGCTCGCCTCTGCGTGTATGATTACTACAAGACGACATGCTGTGCTTCATGTTCACGAGTGACCCACAGACAGTCGATTCATCGGGGCCGCAGCTAGCACTCTCTACCACGGTCCCTCAGCTCCATGTCGGACCAGACTCAATACCCCGCCACAGGCACTCTGTTCTCGGGCCAGCCAGGGGAGTGAACTGGCTGGACCTTGGTTTAAACAGACTCTTGTTTTGATTGCCAAGGATGGAAGCTGAAGAAGGAACATTTCTGTTGGCTTATTTGGAGACAGCTGTTGGGAGAAAAGGAATACCTAAGAATAGTGGAGGACAGGAATCCACTCACTCGATGAACAGAGTGCTGGTGGGGTGAGAAAGATCAGTAGCAAACTGAGGAAACTACAAAAAACTTTATGGATTTTAACCACAACGTTTAATCTAAAGAATTACATTTTTTTGTTTCAGTGGGAGCAGTTTGCAGCTGGCTGTTGTGGATTACATGACATGAAGTGGAGAGCACCTGTAAACTATTTAAGATGGACTATGTATAGAAAGTACTGTTTATGTTCTAATATGGTTCTTTACACTACAATACTCAGATTCATGGCATGATGTCATATGAAGTTGATGCTGTCTCACATGAATCAGCTATTTAACAACCACTTGTTGACCAAAGATATGTAACCTCATCAAACTGAAGACAGTGACAAATTACCATTTTCACAGAAATACTGTGCGTCAAACCTTCCATGATGCTGATGGTGTAACCTTTGCGCAGCATGTATTCACAAGAAAAATGTGTGAATTAGATTTTATTTGTGGCACGGATGAGGTTTTTCTGATTACCTAAGCAGTGGCAGACCACCTGGTTTTCCTGCCTGCGCAGCCGTTAGGTGTAAATGCAGCCTTTGTAATATGTATGTATATATGTATGTTTGTATGACAGAGTGAATGGTAAAAGGTATTTTTTAAGGGGTTCTCAGACAATCTTCCCAGAAACTGAAGAGAAAAAAAGCCCTCTTTATTTATTTGTGTGGCTCCCCAGGGAGGACACTGGTTTATCGGCCACCAGTGGCCCCTTTTTGGCTGTGGGGATAAAACCTTTGCTGTCTCTCCACCAATCACAGCCTCTGGACTGAATGTAGGCATTCCACAGCCTGCTGGATGGTGGAAGCAGATGGTGAAAAACCCCAAAGTATTTTTGAAGAGGTGAAACAAACTGCATATATATGTTTTTTTTTTTTCTGTAGGAGATGATCATTCCACCATTGTACAATCCCTGATAAATCTCTAATTATAAATACATTGAATTATCAATAAAGCATTATTAGTATTTGATTGTAAAGAAAAATCACCACAGTATTTTACAACTATTAATCTGTTATGGTATATATGAGGTTTACATTAATAGTAAGTCCTTGTTGAATCAGCCTCTCTTTCAGTTTCATACAGAACCTGCACACTGGGCCTCTCAAGTGTTGTTCAAACTGTTTTTGTATTATATGTTAGCAGTTCCCTCCATGCACCATAAATTTACCTCAGATCCATAAGTACTGTATTAATCAATGTTTAAGTTGGGATGATTCAAGTGTGCAATTGATTCAATCTCTAAATGCAAGAAACAAACCATCAACATCTGAATGTGTTGACATGATGACGTGATACTTGATTTTCCCCAAAACAATCAAAAAGAATTAAACTAAAATACCAGAATCCTTCCGTATTCGAATGAGTGCAACTAATAAAACATCTGTACTTGTCTTCTTTTACATTACAACTGTTCAGCCGTTTATTTTTCATGGAGTGTTCTTGAGAATTTTTGAAATAAAAAAAATTACTAATTATTTGTACACTTGCACAGCATACTTTCCTGTCTGATTTCTAAACTGATTCAGTTTTTCATCACATTGAGGACGAGTCATCCATGTAGAGGACAAAGGCAGTCTTACATCAAATAGATTTACAGTTCCACTTATAATGAAACACTACTTCGTCTTCAGGACAAATGTCAGGAAATTTTCTTCAGTATATTAATATCTGACCAAATTGATACAATTATATATTTTTAATCGCATTCTATGTATATATGTCATAACAACTCAACTGCTACATACACTAAGAGAGAGATGGTTGAAAGCTCCAGGAAAAAAAGCTAGTTCATTTGTCAGTCCTGCTGACACGGACTGATGGGTTTTGCAAAGAATGAAACCCTCAATCTCCTCCACCACCAAGTTGAATGTTAATTGCACCAAAATCCTTTAAGGAATATTCTGCTTTTATTATTTACAATCTAGGTCTTATTTTCATAGTATTGTCAATAAGGCAAGAATCATGAGTAGTTTTCTACCACTATCTTCACATAAAAACGTCAACATGAAAATGATCACCCAGACTGTCCTTTGTAAATATCTGTTCAACCTTGAGGAGATACTGTGTAAGGTTCAACTTGAGGTTCTCAGTGCAATGTAAATGTACAGTTGCAGTGACCATTTTGTGACTGTGTTAATGTTGCATTGTTCACCTTCGCTTTCACTTATAAATAATTTGGTTTGTATCACAGGCTTAAACTTGGCATTCGTTTACAACTTGACCACAGATCTCCACAATTAAGTTGCTTTTATGAAATTTCAGGAAACTCATCTCGTCCACTGTAGGATGCAGTCAGGACTAAATGGAGGTTGCTCTCTAAACACCATTACATTTAATTTGATTTTTTGATTAACATTCTTCAAATAGTAAAATGAATACCAGTATAGTTTATCTTTCTACATTGCTTACATTAAATAATTTACTAGTCTGAGTCAAACAGTGAATCAGTGTGTTTTTGTGTGTGAAGACAGTAAAACACTGAAACACTGATATAACCACACTAAAAATTCAGATGTTATTAGTCAACAATATGCATAACAATACATAACTCTGTTTAATGATTACTGAAATGTGACTGAAAAGATGATGAGTGTTTAAATTGATGATTTCACTGTGCCATCACCTGTAGGTCGAACTATTAGTGAAACCAGGCAATAAAACGATCTTCGGTGTCTTCTGTATTTAGTTGTCAGAAGAGCATAACAGTATAAAATCCTCCACCACAACCTGAAACTGTCTGTGTTCAAAGTTCAGACAACAACAGCCTCCCCTCTCTCCTGCCCTCACTGTGAACTTGCTCCTGCAGCTTGACCTCTTTTTGTTCTGCTCTCACTTCTGCAATGAGGGTCTCTCTATTATTGATGAGACATCAATATTGGACGAACAGGACTGTGTTTTCTTCTTTCTCTCACCACAGAGTATCCTCTGACATACGCTGTCATTCAGGATGCCGATATTCACCAGCTCCTCCAGGTGAACCCGGTCAGCCAGGCGGTGCTTAACACCTTTAACACAAGCAGCATAAATTATCACCCTTATGCCCCATTTGTTCAGAGATAGAGATGGTGGAATGAAAAGAAATGCATTTAACAGATTTATTAGGATTATTTTGTCCAATCATCACTAAGTAGCTCCTCCAGTTTCATTAATTGTGCAAACAGTAAACCAAAAATAGCTTGGCAAAAATGACACCTACGCATGTTGGCATTTAATCAATTGCTGACTGACTAAAAGATGATGACCTGGTTTGATGGCAGTCAGGACAGCTGGAGGATGTGAGGACAGCCTCATAGATTGTCCTCCGCTCTGGAGTGAACTCGCCATTGGCTGGGAAGCAGATATTTCAGAACAGTTTAAAGACATTTCCAAAGTACTTTGCAACAAACTTGCACACAGATAAAAAGATTGCAATACATTATGCCAGGTCCTCATTTTTCAAGCTCTTAATTTGAAAAGAAAAACAGTTTGCAACCACTGACCACAAATCTCCAAGAAGAATTTGTTACACCTGGCCTTTAATACGAAAAGCCCAAGCATGATTAGCATATCCTTCTTGCTGGCAGCTGAAAGCCTTATGTTCCACAGATACACGGGTATTAGAGGTGTGGGACGCATCCCCACTTCAGTGTAGCAGTAGGGTTCACATGATGGCGCCAGAGTAAGAACATTTCAAATACCAAACATAGTGTTGAATATCTTATGTTACCTGTGTGTAGAGGCCTGTGCAACAGTTTAAAATGACTGTAGCCTGCTAAACACTACACTCTGCTGGTGATGCTCCCCTTTAGGCATAAGACATACAACAATTGTTTTTAATTTTTAAATTTAAATGCAATTTTTGTGGTCAGTCAAGTGAGTTCCATAATTTGGATAATTAATTAGAGTATAAACATTTTATGGAAACTATTAGACTACATACATGGAAACCCTTCTTGCTGTTTATTTTTGTTATTATTATTCTCAAATCAACTTCTTTTTAACATTAAAAAACTGGAGGATTTTTGGACTTGATAATGGTGTTTAAGGAGGCTTCAAAAGTTGAAGAGAGCCCTCAAGTACTTGCTGATTTTCAGTTTTTACTGCATATTTAGCGTCATAAGTGAAAAACTGTGTGACAATATTGCTAAAATATTACTTTAATGCAGCAGATTATTGGTCAAAAGCCTCTGGTCTCTGTTAACTGCTGGCCTCAAAGCTACTGGATGAAGATAAAATCAATAGCACAAACAGTTTACAGCCTCTTATTTTGAATCCTTTGGTTGAGTTTCAAACTCAATAAGGTGTTCAGTGCTTGGATACCTTTAATGTCATGCTCTGAACTTTTATTTTCTTTCTTTTCCTTTATTGCTTGGTTAGGGAATAATTTGAATGATACCAATTCGAGCAACCCTGCAGATGCTGTTAAGCGAAGAAGGATTTTTGTGTCATTTTGTGAGTTTCACTGGAAATCCTGTTTGTGTAGCACAGAACTCAAATGCCAAGAACAACCAGGCAAGCAGGAAGTACAATACATCTGTGTGGACTGGTGTCTGATTCAAACAGGAAACAAACAACAACCAAAAAAAAAAAAAAAAAAAAAAAGCCTCTACCTCTGACAACAGACACACAATGAGCTGACCGGGCAGCCAAGGTTTGTGAGAATTTAACTGAAGAAATTTTAGGCAATTAGGAGCAGCAATACAATCTTTATTCTAGTCTTTATCTCAAATATGAATATTCATCATAAAGTGATTTAATTACTTACCATGCCACAATGACTCGGTGTAAAAGAGTGTTAACTTGGAAGCTGATAACAGAAACAAACAAACAAACAAAAAACTGTGACTATAAACACAACAATAACACTAACAGTTAGGGGCTCAGGCTGATACAGTTGATAAGAACAAAGACCAGTGCTAAGAAAAACATTGCCATTAATTAATAAAGAACAAGCAAAAGTTTTTGCTTAATTGATTTATCGTCAGAATTAGGTTAATCAATATGCATGAGAGTCTGATTATGTTCATGTAAAAGGACGCCAATTAAAATTAAACACACCAACTAATTCTTTCAGAGGAGGTTTCACAGCAGATGCTCCCGCTATCTGTATTCAGTCCCCGCTGCAAAAAACAAACACAAACGTGTCAATACAGTGCATTAGATTGCTTTATATCCAGGCTTATTATCTGTTCTCTAATCAGAAATGAAATGTCTGGAAAGTCTGGCCTGACATACAATGAGAATTTTATTTAATTTCACGCTGTTGTGGCTCTGTATATCGAAGTGATGACTGCCTAAATGATTTAAATACAGTTGAAGATGAGTAAGGATATCACCTTCAGTTCCGTAGTGATTCAATAAGTCAGTTAGCAAAAATAACTTCATAAAGATGTAAAAAAAAAAAGGAAAAAAAGTTAGTAACAAAAAGCAAACAGTTCACCAGTGGTACAGTGCTTGCAGCTGTACAAGGTTTCTTTTTTTTTGTTAGAATTAGTTTTTTGGCAGGTTGCAGTTGAACCCGGCCACTTCAGTAAACACTCAGCCTTAGTACACAGTGCACACACTCTACCCGCTGAGCTGCTGGGGCACCGTACAAACAGCACAGACCGTTCCTGAAATATGATCACACACCTAAAAAGTATCGATTTGTAGCAAACTGGGCCAACAATAAATGACAATTTTTTACGGATGAAAAACATTTAAGTTCACATTTTAAGTCTCCACAAAGTGTTGCATTCAATAGTCTAAAGGTGAAATGTTTGCATGTTAAGCAGTGCTGTGTGCAACAACACCTTCTGGTCTGAGTGAGCGATATCACACTGCTCAAATATTCATCACCTCAAACGCTGCTGTCACTTCATAGCTCAGTGACTGAACATTAAGGTTCAGAATAAAGGTCACACACACACACACACACACACACACACACACACACACACACACACACACACACACACACACACACACACACACACACACACCTAGAGACCAGCACCAACACAGACAGACTTACGTCACAGGTGTATTGCACCGCAACAGCATACTGCAGCATTCTCCATGAAGTGCTCTTTAGGAAAGATCTTGTCAACATATGAACAACTGGCAAAGAAAAGTAGCAGAAACATATCAAAGACTTTTCATGAGTTTAATAGCCAATTTGAAAACATAACAGATGGGGTAATGTTACAGTCAAGGGAAAAAAATTAGCAAGGGAGATCAATTTTGTAAAACATTGTTTGTCTTTATTTTGACAGCTCAAGGTAGACAGGAAAGGGGGAGAGAGAGGGGGGATGACATGCAGCAAAGGGCCACCGGTCTGACTCTAAGCCATAGCTGCTACAGCAAGGAAAATTAGATCATGAACACAAGTCATTTCTGTACAGAGTGCCTTGCCTACATATTGGTTACAGAGGGAGATTAAGAGTTCTACAGAAACTCTGGCTGCTCTTCCACTTTAATGGATGCTGGTAAGGTTTTTGAGGCACCTCGACTGAAT